AATGAGTTCTTGCTTAATTCCAAAGTCAGCTATGGATAACTCGGAGAACACTGAGGTTTTGTCTGGACCATGTTTGTTCACTAGAAAAAGGAAGGGGTTGATGATTTGTTGAAGTTTATACACACTACGATTACGATTTATAAGTAAAAATAATAAGAAAGAAAAACTTTGAAGAGAAGTTATTTTTGGTAGTGCATCCCCACACCCTAAAAAAACAAAAAAAAAAACACTAAGCCAACCTCATTTTGGTATGGAGAAGATATAGTGTAACAAATAAGGGTTAACTCTGTCGGAGGTCCCCCAAAGTATGCGCTGAATGTTATTTTGATCCCTAAAGTATTGAATGTGTGATTATGTGGTCCTTCAAGCTGACAGTGCTTAACTTAACATAATCCTAGAAAGTTTATTTATTGGAAAATTTACATTGACCCGTCAACAAAAAACTCAAACCCACTCTACCAACCCTTCTCCTCACCTGTCCAGGTCCTCTTTGCTTCCCAACCCAAGCTGCAAGATCTCCTCCACTCTCCCCTTGCTCCAGCACCCCTTGCTCCCTCTTCCCTTTCCAAACCCAATTTGCAAACCCCCCTCTCTCACTGTGTTGCACCCTGCCCATCACAACTACTACCATGGCAACCTAAACTGAGGTGAAACCCAACTCTAATGAAATCATTCAACACATGAAGGGCCAAGTGCATTGCTTACCATGCACTGCATGTTCCTTAACTCACCATTGCATCTTCAGCCCCACCATTTTCTCTAACTCATTTCATGCCAAACCCACCTAACTATGCAAATGACCAGAAGCAAAATGGCGGGGAAGACTTATCGGAAAAGCAATGACAGGGATGACCAAAAATTACCTCTACAAATCTCGAAACCCTTTTCAAAATTCAACTGCCAATTGAAGTCCAGACATATTTGCCACCCTGCACTGCCGGTTCATCAATGAAACACAAATCCAAAAAAATCCCCAACAATCATAATCCATGGCTAATAGATTCAAATTTCATGAATTGGGTTGAATTTGGATTGTATGTTTGTGAGTCGTGTGTGTATGTGTGCTCATGCTTCAGCAGATGTGCGAGTATGAAGAATGAGGACCTTCCATTGTGCACTGGAAACATTTGTTACGCTTCAAAATGAGAGATGTGGAAGAAGGATTGTACTTCTATCTTAGGTAAAGCATTTGCAGCGTTGTTGCTGCAAAACCAATGACCAAAGAGGCTGGTGGAATGATGGCAGACAGATTTGGTTTTTCCATTATGAGGATTCCATGAGCAGTTGAGAACTTTCGCCTTCCCTGCTAATATAAATTTATGAGCATATTATGTGTTATGCTCGAGCAATAATGGGTGTGAGGTGGTAGAGTTGGTGCTGGAGGGGTTGTGATTATGGTGGGTGGAAGATAGATAGATAGGGACCAAAATGACATAGAGTGCATCGTTGGGAGGACCTCTAGTGTAATTAATCAAACAAATAAATATCTAGGGATGGCATGACATGAGGCGGATAGTTGGCAATGGAGAAGTATTTTATTTTGGGACTACCAATAGATTTGGGAGAAACCATTATTTCAAGGTGGTTTTATATCTTTCAAGAAGTATGTTGATTGGTACATGTAAGTCAAAAGGTTTGTTGAACATGCTTAAATCTGGAGTGTGCGGAATTGCGTGCTCTTCTTCCAGATTTTTCAATTGAAATCATGTTGGATTGATGGAGGTTGAGAGCTTATGCAAGGAATCAACGATTTGTAACTATAATCTTTCATGTAGACATTGTGCAGAGGCAGTAGCACTACTACGAGAGCTGGGACTCTCGATCTTTTTCTGTACTTAGAAAATTGAAGATTCCTTGTATTGTCCGGTTCCCTACATTAAGGTTCTCAATTTATTTTTCTTTATTGTCTCCACTTTACTTTTTGTTATGCCCATGTTCACAAGTCATTGATGTACATGTTTCCATTGATGTGCAGGGAAATCAACCATTCTTAGATTGCTCTTCAGGTTTTTTGACACCGATTCTGGACATGTAAGAAGAGATGCTTCTCTTATACACCTTTGTCTTTTGGCTATCATTATGGCCATTTCTAACTGGCCAAGTCCTGTGGTTAGTTCTTGATTTATTTTCTGTTATCTTAGTTTGCATGCACTAGGCCCAGGATTCTGATACAACTACAAATGTGGATCTGGAATACAAAGATGAGTAATAATTGCTCTTTTCACATGTAAATGGAAACTATTTTTTAAGGGAAAAATGGAAAAATAATAAAAGCAAAAGAAAACACCCCTGTCCTTTTCAAGGGGGAATGCTGACACACATCTAGCCATGAAGCAGCAGTCTTTGATCTATGTGTATATGTGCCATGTAGGGCTTGTTGTCAATTCTAACATTTTACTTTGGATTTCAAATTTCATCTCTTGGAGTATATTGGTGCCGACAAGGTGGCAGCATACACATGAAGCTTACACACTTGTTTGTGCGGTTTTAGCTCAAGCATTATAAATTGTGTATCCTCACATTTTGCCGGCTTGTAATTTTTGTGGAGGTTGATGTAATTGAACTGTCTGATATCTGATACAACTAATAATAATGATTGTGTCTAAATTTTGATTGCTTTTTGGTTTTCCTCTTTCCCTAAGTGCTACCAAAAATTTGCTACTTGACAGATTCGGATAGATGGTCAAGATATACGGAAGGTGACACTTGAGAGTCTTCGGAAGCCTATTGGTGTGGTTCCACAGGATACAGTGAGTTGGCAGTTGCAACAAAATATCTGTGCTACGACTTTTCCTATTTTCTTAGTATTCATAAGTTCTCATAAAAAAGTCACACACATGATAAAGTCAGCTGCATTTTGGGCAGGTACTGTTTAATGATACAATATTTCACTACATTCATTATGGTCGTCTTTCGGCAATGGAAGAGGAGGTGCATATGCTTCTATGCTCAGAAAACCATGCACCATGTTAACTTTCGTCATGCTTCCGAATAACTTCTTTTACTAGGTTTATGATGCCGCTAGAAGGGCAGCAATTCACAACACCGTTATGAACTTCCCAGACAAATATTCTACGGCGGTAGGGGAACGAGGGCTTAAGGTAAGAAGCTAACTGATTTTTGGAAAAGTCATACTTTTGTCTCATGTTTATTGGGGGGGGGGCAAGATTAGACTGAAGAAAGCCTCATCTAGCACCTTGTTTTAAGGATAGGGTGGGTACGGCTTTGAGTTTGCCGAGTCTGCCTTGATATCAGTGTTTTCAGTTTTGTTCATTTTGGCTCAATCTTATTGCTAGAATTTATTTTTCATTTTTCATTTTTCCTTGGAGCCCGGGTTCTGGTATCAGCGTTTTCAGTTTTGCACTTCTAGCTCAATCTTATTGCTGGAATTTTTTTTTCTTATTGCTCTAATGTTTACTACCTGAAGAGATGTGTAGATAGGTCATATTAGGTGAAAATTACCATGGTTGATCAGTATACTAGAATCTCCCTCTGCATTATCTCAGCTGATTTTCCTTGCATTATCACATTTTCTTCCTGGCAGCTAAGTGGTGGTGAGAAGCAGCAGGTGGCACTAGCTCGTGCATTCTTAAAAGCACTGTCCATTTTTGTAAGTGCCATCTTCTTTACTCCTGATTGACATAGTGACAAGGTTTAATTTGTTAAAAATGTCTCCTATTTGAGTGCCCTCGATTAAGATAAACTGTTTGTGTGACACTGCATGTTCTGTGCAAGGTAATTTTCTTAGTATTATTACCTGTGCATGTAATGGAGGAACTGATGAACCTGTAATCAACTGAGTAAATAATTCAGGATCCTGATCCTCTACTCTCTTTGTTGTAAGTAAACCCTTCGTCAATTGAAATCTGGCATTAACTATGTCTTATGCATGTTCCATGCCTGTGATAGTGTTTGTTACGTCCTATGTATATGCTCACCACAAAGCCTGCATAAAACATGGTATGCTCCATGCCCGTTGTTGCCTTTTAGCTCATTTATTGGATACTGTTTCCTTAACGCCCAGCAATTTATGCACCTCTGCTTGGTAAAGCATGCTCCATAAGCAATTCCTCCCTTCTCCCACAATAATCGGCTCACTTTCAAGTACGTTTGCCCATCATTGACTTTCTTCTTTTTTTTTTCCTCCTGCTATTGCGGGATTAACATTCTGTATGAATGATGTAAGCCCATAGTGTGATGGAATCCATTAGTTTGTTGTTTAGGTAGGGTCTTACTTACACATAGGTGATTGGAAGCTTAGGACGAGGATGTACTTGCTTTATAGTAGAAGTTAACCATCATAATTATTGCTCTAAAAGAAAATGAAAAGGAGCCCTTCACTCTTTTTGGTCCCTTACTGCTATAATTTTAGAATTGATCACCTGAGTGCAAGTCATGCGAAGTAATAAATTTCTTGAGAGTTTGAGGTCGAACCACGAGAAATTGTGAAAACAAGAGACACAAAACAAATAAAAGGAAACTGTTTTGAACTTTATTTGAGTAATAATTTATCTAATAGAAGAAATGTGGGTTGGTTATAACAATAATTGAAATAGTAAAACATCGGAGATACCCTTTCAAATTCACACAGTAATTATTAATGATCAACTTTTCGAACTCAATTGAGAATCAGTTGAGGAGTGATCCCAATCGAAATATTTAGCGGTGATAATATGAAAACATCAAAAAGTATAATTAATGAATTATTTGAATAAATATAAAAATTTACTTGTAGATCACAAGTATTCATCGTGCCCGAAGTTTATGATAAATTAAGATTTTTAATAGATAAAATTTATTTTATTGCAAATAATAAATCAACTATCTTATGATAAATTCTAATTAATTAATTCAAGTATGAAATAATCAGTTATTTGACTTGCAGAGAATTTCAAGCATTCGATATACATGGCACAATGAATCGAAAAATTATACAGAGCAAAAATTTTATTAAAAGACAATCATTAAATTAAAAGTATAAATCATTCATTAAAAAAAATTGAATCAATAATAAATATTGTGTTTTATTGAAAGTATTTTTCCTAGTAAGTGATTGAGATGGGAATTGACAAAAGACCCATAAAATAAAACAAGAGATGACATGTATACAATCTTCAACTTGATGGAGATTAAGTGGAAGATTTTGGAATTCAAAGTTGCTATTATACGGGTTTTTTTTTCACTTAAGCAACCCAAGTTTTTGTCTCTAATAATATGCGATTTTATATCTCAAAAGTGACAAGAGTGTCCACAAGTATTGTACATGTTTGAATAATCACAAAAACAAGGTGAGCCTATATCGACCAGTTATTGAATCATTGCAGTATTGTGCATGTTTAAATTGGGTAATTTTTTTCCAAATTTTATTATATATGTTATTTAAAGTATAGTTATCAAACATATATTTGATTTTGTTTATAGTAAAACAAAAATGCAATAATATTATTGTTCACTCATAAAAACTTTATTTTAAAAATTGTCAAATAGTCATACACCAACTTTTTAATTCTAAATATGGTAGAATAGGAGTGTTGAATCTTATCTTTTTTCCACAAAAGCTTATGCTTGCTAAAGTGACACCAGAACTACTTATTTTATAAATTGTCCACAATCTTCTCGGATGTGAAAAAGACAGGATCATCACTTAAGTCGAAACTAAAGAAATACAAAGTAATTGATGGGACACCACTTAGGCACATTGAAGCTAAAGCTAAACATTTTTGCATCCACTTAAAATATGGTGGGTCTATGCAAACTTCGGGTGCAGCTCCTCTGCTGTTAGTCAAGGACGGTGCCATTTTATTAAGTTTACACAATAAAATGTTCTTCTCAAAACAGACCCACCAAAAGACGTTGTTTTAATGGGTTTATACAGTGATTCCACAAAACAGACCTCCAAACATTAGACAGAAAAACAATTTACTTCTTTCTATTCTTCAACTTCTCTTCGTTTCTCACTTGCACTTAGTTTCTCATCTTCTTTGAGTGGCATCCCTTGCAAAACCCCTAATCTACACAGAAGCATCTTGACTATTTCCAAGCAGCCAAGGTCTACTCTTCTTGGTAGCAACAAGTATGGATTTTCATAGAAATCGAGCACGGACATTCATTTGGAAACACAAATGTCTTGAATCGCAATTCATTGTGAGAATTGCTTTCCATCCCTTACTCTTAACTCTTTGCCCTAAAATTGAATCAATTGGTAGAAACACCGTAACTCACAAAAATTTTAGCAATGGCTTGCTCTGCTTCTTGAATCGCAATCCATTGAGAGAATTGCTTTGTCTAGGTGATGCTCAAATCAACTTTGATGGGTAGAATAAAATTGCTTATGTTGCCGCCGGAGGGCCAAATTAAGGGTGTTCAAATTTTCGATTAGCTATAATTTCCTACCCTATCCAACCCTATTGAACGGTTAGTCGAAAAAATCGGGTAAGAATGCGGAAGAGTTTTTGGTCTTTCGATTAAATCGGGTAGGAATGCAGAATAGCCATTAATTTTCGTGTTCCTACCCTACCCGCATTAATTAATTTATTTATTTATATTAAACTAAAAATTCTAATTCTCTAATCATATGGTTTAAATTTAAAATAATTGTTATTGTATTTGTGCAACAATTATGATGAATTGATGTTTATGCTTTCTTGTGTTTTATTGTAATTGTTTTAATTTTTAGTGTTATTGGTTTATTGTGTTGTTAAATTGGTGCATGTTATTTTATTGAATTGTTAAAATGATCTAAAAATAACTACAAAATTGTTCACCCGATTTCCTATCTAATTAATTTGGTCAGAAGTCCTGTGGTAATACCACACTTGATCGGGTAGGATAGGCCAAGAAAAAAAAATTTCGCAAAGCATTGGGTTAAAAGACGAAAGACTATATTTCTCATCCATAGGATAGGATAAACACCCCTATGCCAAATCAAGAAAACTTCCAAGCAATTTTACTGAGTCTTGCCGATGCCCGAGTCAATGTCCACATAAGGTCTTGAAGTTCGGAGGGAGTTGAGTCATACTCCTTAAATGGACCCATTTGATGATTTTCCTAGAAATTGTTACAGTTGAGAGCTGCCATTAACGTTAACAGTGCTCATTCATAGGCAACAAGATCAGGTGGTGCATTGAGGACGAAGAAGCCGGTCTTGTCTTCGTCATCGCTGCTTCTTCTGAATCTCTTGCTCCTGCAAACACAAACAGAGTAGAATCCAGAAGCTTTCGATAGAGGTTTGAGAGAGAGAGGGGGGGGGGGCTTTAGAGAGAGAGAGTAGGTAGGGGACGGTTTTGAGGTGTGAACAATGAAGAAGGCAAACCATGGAACAATAATTTGGAGCTGTAACTGGGAGAGACTGAGAGTGTTAGTTTTGTGAAGAAGAGAGAGAATTTCACCTTTTTATTTTTAGTGAAAATTTTTTACCCAAAAAACTTATTGAAACGGTGGTATTTCGAACTAACAGCAAACTGTGCCGTTTTTATGGAACAGCAGAGGAGCCGTCGTGCTCGCAAACTTCACAATCTTTGGTGTTTGAACTGTAATTTTCATTTTTCAACATGCATATACAATACGGGTAGTCCACTGGTGTGGGATTACTTTGAGATGTACGATAAATTCTTTAGTTTAAGTTTTCTTGATCACTCTCAAATTTAAGCAATACCTATGTTAGTCGGTGAATACAAAGTAATTGATGGGACTCCACTTAGGCACAATGAAGCTCAGGAAGTTGTAAGACATGAAAAGTACTTGAATTAAAGATTTAGGTTAAAGTTTTGAGTTATGTTAAACTCAATGTGAGGGGTTTTCCATATTTTCATACAATAATGTGCCTACTGTTTAGAAGAAGAGGAGGATGGATTGCTTAGAGAATTATGCTAGATCAAATGTATGTCAAACTAGACTTGTGCGAGTCAACCCACACGTAACCTATAATATTTGTTTGCAAGTATATTAAATGGACAACTTTCCTTGTGTAACTGGAACCAAATCTCTTTAATGCAAACATGGAAACCAGCACATATATATATATATATCTTACTTTGCAAATCATTCAGCATGGTCCCTTTATTTATCATGGAAAAAAGTATTGTGTAACAAAACAAAACAGAAGACAAAAAAAAGAGAAGTTGCCGATATTTTATTACTCAAGAAGAAAACTGGTATGTATAACCAGCCAATACACAATTTAATTTATAGAAAACAGTTCCTAAACTTGCTCAACAAAACAGAGTGTGTTGAGAATATTATGCCAAAGAAACACCAACATGCCTAAAGATCTGGAAGAGAGAAACTCTCCTGAAGACTAGTTCAAACAAATAACAAACTTAGACTCAGTAAGCCTAAAACTTATTCAGCAACTCCTAAGTAGGGAAAACACAGTAAGTTGCACTAATGTTGACATATTGCACGCAAGGCAAAGATCACAGCCTCTTCACCAAAAGGTTCACTCCCTGTCCAGGCTCTATGACCAAATGTAGAGTTGGTGAGTGAACATATGTTGGAGAGAGAGAGAAAGAAAAGTTGGACAAAATGAGAGAGGTCACTATCTTTAGCTCAAGTAAAGCCAGGTACTGTCCAAGACACACCCTTGGTCCGACACCAAATGGCATGTATAAGTGTGGAAGCTTGCATGCACCTGTGATCCCATTTGCAAACCTCTCTGGATTAAACTTGTAAGAATCAGGACCCCAATTTTCAGGGTCGGTGTGCAGTGCTGTCAGCAAAGTCCAAATAATCACACCCTTGGGTACATGAATACCCCCGAATTTCATGTCCTTCAAGGTCTCCCTTGACACCGCAGTGTTAGGAGGATAAAGGCGCATTGACTCATTAATCGCCATTGCTAGCTGCAAATCAATTCAAAATATACAGTTAGTAAGAAGGACTTATACATGTGCATTTTTTCTAGGGAAACCAGTGATCACAATGTGTGAAAAAACTTGGGCATGACATTTGTCCTTATTAACTCCGTCATAAACCCGATATGAAATTAGGGAATTTGGGGTTTCAAAGTTGATAGGAGTTCAAAAATGTCATATGACCCGTTTATAAACATAACAAACAGATTAGCTCTGTGTCAAATATTGATAATACAAAAAGTAGTCTTGATCTTAAATTGATTCACGGATTGTGCATGTCGACACAAACACGACACCATCAATAAATAGGGTGGGTTAGTTGATATCTGACATAAATGATTCAATAGGCTAATTTATACTTTACTAATACTCGATACAAACTCGAAATATTATAACCTAAATCCAAACATGACAGAACTTAATTGATACCTCTAGTAACATTCTTAGTTAGCATTCTGTTTTGCATATAATTGTCCATTTTTCCTATAATATATGTAAGTCTGATGCTGATAAATACGGTACTCAGAATACCTGTTTCATCTTACGAATCATATCATTATTTGGAATTTGGCCCCTACAAACTTCAATCACCTCGGCACGAATGCGATCTTGCCACTCTGGGTTCGAAGCCAATAGCATAAGCAACCACGTGGCTGAAACTGCAGTGGTCGCATACCCAGCCAAATAGATGTTTTTGCAATTATCAACAATGAATCGGTCAAGCGCGTCTTTGCTCAGATCACTATTTTTGGCACCTTCAAGAATCATTTGCAATAAGTCTCTCTCATAACCAGCTTCATTCCTCTCCTTCACTACCTTTAACACCAGTGTATGAATTTCCTTCTCCAATGCCCATGCTTCTTTATTTCTCTTAGTTGGAAGATATCTGCAGCGAAATAATTAGTATAGTTCCCTGGTGACCCATATCTCACATCACTCGGTAGAGTATGTATGACCTTGAAAGAATCTAGAGATATTTGTTGTCTATCTTATGTGTGATTGACATAATTAAGTCATCATTATATTTGAACTTGTAGGAAAAGGGTACCTCATGCCGGGAATACCAGTAGCCAAAACTTTCTTAGATTCAGCTTCTTCGAGAGCTTTGATCCTACGAAAAATCTCCTCTCCTTTAGAGTAATTACTTCCAAAACAAGCTCTCGAAATCACATCTCCGGAAAAGCTTCTCATGTGTTGGTCGATTTTTATGTCCGCGATTCCACCCTCAACTTCAATTATACGATTCCATGAGTTTATCAACGTAATCGCAGAGTCTGTTATTATGTTTGTCATTCCCTACAAGTGGTGCACATGATACTTGAAGTTAATATTTTGCATAATAAAGCTGGATGCTTGGAAGTTGGAACCCAATATTGGTTTCCTGCAATATATAATTATTAGTAATTCCCGTGCATAAAGGCACGAAGTCATAAAAAAATAGTCAATAATAAATATTTGTATTTACACCAAAAATTAAATCACAAACATAGAAAGAGAAAAAATTTAAGCACTGATTGTAATGGAGATAAGCGGTAGTAGTGGTGGTGGATAGTAGTGGTGATAGTGATGGTTGTGGTGGGTGGCAATGACTGTGGTAGTGATAGCAGTCGTGGGTGATAATGTTAATGGTGGTGGTGGTGGTAGGTTTTGGCTGACAGTAGTGGTAGTGGCAGTCGTAGGTGACGACGATAGTGGGTGTTGGTGTGGGTGGACGACGGTGATGGTAGTTGGCAATGGCAGTGGTGGTGGTGGAGCGACAACAATAATGGTGGGCGGTGAAAATGGGTACTTTTAGACGACCGTGTGATGGGTGGTGGCAAATGGCGGAAGCGGTGGTGGTAATCATGGTGGGGTGAGTGATAGTGGGTGGCTATAGTGGTGGGCGATGACGAGTGGTGGTAGGTGTGGTAGAGTTGGGTGACAATGACTAGTGGCGATAGTGGGTGACGACGGGGTGGTGGTGGATTATGGTAGTGGGTGACGATGGCAACAATGATGGTGGTAGGTGTTGACGGTTGGTGACGATAGTAGTGGGATGATGATGATGATGATGATGGTAATGGTAATAAATATGAGAATAAGATAACAATGGTGGTGGATAGTGGCAGTTGACGATAGTGGTAGCAATTGGTGGTAGGTGGCAATGGTGGTGCTTGTGGCGGTGGCAGCAGTGGCAACGACAACGGTGGTGGTGACGACGACAATGATGGGTAGACAACGATAGTTACGGTTGTGATGATAGTTGTGATGGTCATGGAAGTGGTGAGAGTGGTAGGGGTGATGGTGAGATAGTGGCAGTCGTGTTGGGGCAATGGTGGTAGTGGTAGTGGTGGTGGTGGTGGTGATGATGGGGAGGTGGGTGTGGTAGGGCGGCGATAGTGGTGGTGGCAGTGGCTGTGGTAGTGAGGGTGGCGATGGGAGTGGTAGTGGGACGACTTCAAACACTATCTTTTTAAAAAATAAAAAATAAAAAAATATTTATGAGAAATAAATCTTATAAACGCTTTTAAAAAATTACTTCAAACATACCCTTATAAGCCTATTTTTATTATTAAATTTATGGTGTAAATATTAGCCATCAAATTAATTTTAAAATAAAATTTAAAGAAATTTCAACTACGACTATCAAAAGTTATTTTATTTTTCTTTTGAAATTTAAATTATATTATACTTTATTATATATGGATAGTCGGGATCACATTGTGTATTATACCTTAACCTTCTCCATGTATAGTTCTGGCGCGATTATTTTCCTTTGATGAGCCCAATAAGCCCCATTGGAGGTTAGAATGCCCTGGCCAAGCAAAGAACCGAGCTCTTTGGCTTGATATGAAGGCTTCCCCAAGTCCCAGGATGTGCAGGTGGTTATCTCTCTCACCATGTCAGGTTGGGTCACAAGCAATATCGGTGAGTTACCAAGAGAAAAGAAGAACACTTCGCCTGTACAGTGCATACATTACAGGAGTGAAAGAAAATAAGTAATTATGCAATACTGGGCATAGGAATTAGGAAATTAAACTATGGAAGAAAGAAAATTTGAAGCTGGGATTGGACTCGAATCCCACAGTGATAATTACATAGAAACTATGAACTTTGACAAGACTATGTTCAAAGATGTATACAGGTGATTTTGAGATGACACATTAATACAATATAAAATTAATAGACTAAAGTTAACAAATTTTCAATATGAATGCAATTAGTGGCTTAGGTCAAATACAAATAACCCACTTTCAAAAAGACTCATTTAAGTATTGTAAGTTCAAGCTTTGTATGAAACTTTATAGAATTAGTTTTTCTTTTTTCTTTTTTTTAAACTTGGTTTTCTGATCATGAAGATCAAGTCTATTATATTTATGGACGGACTAGCATGATAGGATTGGTTGAGAGAAAAAGAGGTTCTCTCAATATTAAAGTGCTAAAATTATACTACTCATACTCAACTCGACTTAGTTTTGACTCTCAATATTATGTAATGCGATCAATGCTGATGAGATGGCTGAGAGTTTAAGATGAGGAGTAATCGACGTAACTCTAGACTCTTCATAATCAAAAAAATAAAAAAAAGCGACTGAGGTTTACCGTATTGCTGCCTCCATTGATCGAAAAATGGAAGGACACTAGCTCCACAATTGTGGGAAACCGGTGGTCCACCGGTTGCAGCATTGGCTGCCGCCTTTCTGGCCTTCTTGATTTCCAAGATATTCCCCAGCAGAAGAGTCGGCGGTGGGCCACTCAAACCCTGTTTCCTCAGCTCCGACCGAAGCTTCCGCGGATGCGCCACCAGTGCGTTAAACAGACGCGCCACCAATCCAATACACCAACCAAAGCAAGGAAATGAACACCTTAAACAGGATTTGGACGTCCATGGTCAGTGCTCTATGAGCTCTATTTTTCTATCTCTAACTCTGATACAGTTGAGTTTTTCTGTTGGGACTTGGCTTTTGTAACTTTATATAGTGAATCTTGAAGGATCAATGCCTCACGTCTAACTATTATTTTACTTTCTACATAAGAACAGTAGATAAGAACTCAAATTTTCTTAATTAAAATATTTGGGTTCATTGCGTCAGTCTAACCATTATTTTACTTTCTAGGTCAGACAAGGAGATAAGAACTCGTTTTTTTTCAATTAAGTTCAAGTCCTATACTTAAGATAATTTGTTGGGACTTAATCTATTCTTCAGCGCCTAAAACATGTAATGGGACCTTAGCTTCGGCCACAACGTAATTTCGGTGAGATCCGCTATAGATAACTATGTGGTATTGGGGGTCAATACTATATGACGAATATGTGAAATAGTCTATTTACATATTTATTTTTTTATATCAAAATAAAATAAAGAAAGAAAAATATAATACTGAGTGTGTGGTTCAAACATGTTTTGATGGCCAAGGTTGAATTGGGTTGAATTCGATTTGATTAACATTATTTGGACCTAAAAAAAATTTGACCTCATTTATTGACTTAATTCACTAAGATAACAAATAAAATCAAATTTTTCGATCAAAATAATATTACTCATTCGATTTTGAAGCTAATTTTATCCAAATTAATACAATGAAATTCGGTTAAATGAGGATAATATCTTGGGAAAATTACCAATAAATATTACTTTTCTCCACAAACACCCGTTAAGTCCTACTAGTTTTGTTTTATATCAATTAAGTCCTAATCTTGATATTTTATCTCAATTAAGTCATAATTTTATTATATTCGAATTTTCTCCTTAACTTTTAGTTGCTAAAACTCTTTCATTCTTCTTATTGTGTATCAATTGTTATTTAATTCAATTTAATGTTTTTTTTTAAAGTGGATCAATTATCGTCTATTTTAAAATCATTTTACGGGATTTTACATTGAGTTTTTATTGAAACTACAAACATATGGATGCACAATTTTTGTTTAAGTATTAGTATTCAGTTCAATTGAAATTCTAAATTCACAAAATACTAAAATTTTTCAAGTGATACTTTTGTTCATCGAGAATACACAGGTCTTATTGCATCTCATAATGACAATTCTGAAAATTTTTAGTAATTAGATTTTTCACAAAATTATGAAGTAAGTAATACATAATTTAAAATACAAGAAGTTGAGATATGTATGAATAGAACGCGACTAATATTGACCTCTACTACATAGTGATTGTTGCGGGATCATTGTGTTCTCCTTGTGTTAGTATAACCATTATTTTACTTTCTATGCTGGACTAGTAGGTAAGACTAGTGGATAAGAACTTAAAATTTTTTGGATTCAAATCTCCACAATTACGACAATTTTTGGGATTAAACTTATTTTTTAGCGCTCAAAGTACGCAATGAGATCTTAGCTTTAACTCCAAAATAGGTGCGGTGAGATTTCCTATAAATAACTATTATGTGGTGTTGAGGGTCAATGCTCTCTGACGACTATGTGAAGTGATCTATTTATATATAATATTGAGTGTGTGGTTCAAACAACTAAGAAACCCAGGGGCTCGTTTCAATGGCCAAGGTTGAATTGGGTTGAATTTGATTTGATTAGTACTATTTGGACCTAAAAAAAATTTGACTTCATTTATTAACAAGATAAAATTATGTTTTTTAATAGTTATATTAACAAATATCAATGACAAGAAGTTATGTATTATACGTGAATAAATATTAGAAAGTGTAAGAGTAATATTTTAAATATGAGGAGGTCAAAATGAATAAGTGATAAATTTGAGGGAGTCTATGTATAATTTATCCGACTAATTTTAGTTAGCAAATTGATGATTGTTAGTTTTCGGTGTGTATTGATACAAATTTATATCTTTGAGAGTGTAAATTGAGATTTTTAATTTTAAAGGGTACAAATTAAAATTCGAGCGATCTTTTGAAGTATAATTTGCTATTAAACCTATTTTTTAAATATATCATTTATGTTCTTTTTCAAAGTGGCATTTCCATTGTCTTCTCTTCCAGTATGGTCTTTAGGCACGTGATCAAAACAAGAAAGTTACAATGAGTTTTATATTTTGTGGAATGACGGACCATTAGGTTTCATAATTCTCCTTTCTCATTAACTTTAATATAGGCGTAGTTTTAATTTGGATAATAACCGAATTATCTCGTCAAATCTTTTTAGTAAATAAATTGAGAAAAAGTTCCAATATATATTACACAAAATTGACAAATTATTAGTACATCAGAAATTGATAAACAAGAGAATAATAAAGAGGATATATTGACTGAATTGGGTTGTTTTTCGTCACATCATTGTAGAACAGAGTTACACATTTATATGGAAGAAAGACTAGAATCAAAGATCCTAAAATTAAGGAACTAAATCATAGTTGATTTCGTATCCTAATTGATTGTTTCCATGTGCAGCGGGATTCTAATTGATTGTCACATTGAAAAGCTATTGTTACTTGAGATTACCCCCATAAGAGGTAAGACAGATAACACGGATAAGACCCTGGTTCTATTACCCACCCCCACCCCCACGCCACCCCAGGTCTGACACATCAACTCCCCAAAAAAGAGGGGCAAAAAAACTCTTTGTGAGCAAATATTTCCATAATATATTCAAAACACTAGGCCCAAGTCGAAGCATCAAAATCGAATGAGCTTCATTCAAACGAATTTCATTGGTAATTTTTCCAAGATATTTTCCTCAGTTAACCGAATTTCATTGTATTAATTTGGATAAAATTAGCTTCAAAATCGAATGAGCATTTTAACTAATTTTTTATCTAATATAGTCAAAAACAAGCAATACATGTCGTAAATAAATTAAAATATTTACGAAAAATAAATTTAATTTTAATAATTAATAAAATTTAAATTTACGACGCTTGAAATTAAAATAATTGAAGGTCTTGGAATCTTTCTAGATGGCTATAGAAATTCAACGCTTTGTGGTCACGATGGTGCACAGTCTAAGAAATGTTATTTTTAACGTATATAATAAAGTAAAACTATGATCCTTGACTCCACAGTATTGTACATGTCTCGGATGCTTCTTGGGCCAAGTGTTTTGAATATATTATGGAAATATTTACTCAGAAAGAGTTTTTTTGCCCCTCTTTTTTGGGGAGTTGATGTGTCAGACCTGGGGTGGCGTGGGGGTGGGTAATAGAACTAAGACAGGTGGTATTATACTTCATCTTAAATATATTATTGTACATATTTATTATTACAACTCCACAATTAGTAAACCAAACTATCATTAATGTAATCAATGTTGATTGATGGTATTTTTGTTAAATCAACATTAATATCATAAAATAATGTCTCAACCAAACAACCAATTGGATCAAAAAATTACTATCCAAAACTTATATTGTATATTGTCAAATACTAGATAAAATTACGTATTATTTTAACATCATATTTAATCATGTTTTTTATCTATCTGTATTGTATTAAACTGTATTACTTTATTTAATCCATGCATTTTTAATTCAGCAATCAAATGAGCCATATATTTATCTTTGTTAAATTTTTAAAAATTTCAATGATGGCTTTACTCTTTAGCCAGTAAATTAAACCCTCTAAAATAAATATTTTTATTTTTAGATTGAATAAATTAGATGTAATTATCTTGATCGATTTTACTTGTAGACATGTCCATCGCCTTAAGCTTAAGAGATTTAATTTCAATCTTCCATTAAAAAAAAATTCTTTATTTATGGAAGATTGAAATTTCAAATTGGCAGGATTTACTGGTAAACTGTTCTCGTAGCTCATATGTATAATTAGCTTACCAAAGCCAATGGGTTTATCCGAGTGGTTGAGCAGTTGTCTAAACTAAGAATGATATACAGTCGAGTTTTACTATTATTCACTTAGCCACTTTCTTGTGTTGTTCCTGTGTAGTAAGTTGAATTTATCGTTAAATTTTAGGGGTAATTTTGTGGTTGCGTTTGATATTTAATAACTCAAATGTCTCAAGTTCAATTCATTCTTATATCTTTTTACAGCTACTCAATCATGTCTCTTTTTAAGGATATTTTGTAACCCAGCTCAAGTTACAGTGGTATAAGTTCGAGAGAGTAATCGATGTAAACATAAATACCTTGTAAATAAATGGTTAAGTTTATTGTTATATATCACAAAAATAATTAATATACCAAAACACAATTAAAAATATTTGTTTTCTGTGTGGACATAGTTTCCAAAGTTGGTGTTAGTTATCATGTGCACAAAATCATATAAAGATAGTCAAACGCTTCCCCATACGAGGGTAACAAAAAACTATTCACGACTCCCTAAATTACGTGTCTTTTTTATGAAGACTTTTTATCTCAACTACTTAAATTCTTGTTTGGATGATGTGCGTGTCAGATTTTGCACAATATAAACACGAGAATAGATCTCTCCCCTGGTGAATTCGAGTGAGTCAGTCGAATGGTCAACCCTGCTGCCTCAGACGGCCTGCGAGGTCCGGTGATTGCCTGAAACGGTAACGAGAGACCCTCGTGGGTCAATAGAACGATCCAGTAAGACTGAGGGAGGTGTCTGGAACAAAGAAAGACAAGTTAGAAGGGCGCTGAAGTGTTTTCCGGCGTATCCCCTCTGACGATCAAGTCAGTTTTTGAGAGGAGAGGAAGAAGAAAACACTGAGTATAATTCGTAGTAAAGATTTTTCGTTCCCCCCTTCTCCTTGCCTTTTGCGAGGGGTATTTATACCTCAAATACTCATGATTGTTGTCAGTGTGGTCAGTAGGTGATCGTTAGATACAGGCAACGTGCGCACTGATTCCTACGAGGAATGTCTTCTCTATTAATTGCTCGGGACCCCGAGCGATCAGGGTTGTGTCATCGGCATGCCGACTGTTTAATGAGCTCCTCTCGGGGATGATGCAATAAATGTTTTGTCTCAGAGACATTTATTATCTTTCACTTCCGAGCCTTACCGCATTGAATGCAGTCTCA